GTCGTGTGTGAAACAACCACCCGCTCACTGTCGGCACGAAGTTTCTGGTACACAGGTCTATGTTGCTGTTCACTCTTCTATACGGCAGCGAAACCTGGACGCTTTATCGGAAGGTTGTCCGTTATCTGGAACGCTTCCATCAACAGTGTTTGCGTCGTATTATGCGCATCGGATGGGGTGACCGAGTTGCAGACGCGGAGATGCTCCTACGCATTGGCATGTATGCAGTGCACCGTATCGTTCTGCTAAGGTGGCTGGGGCCTATTCGCCGCATGGATTCGATCTGGATACCGAAACACCGGCTTTATAGCCAATTACGTGCAGGGAAGCGGCACGTGGGAAAACGGAACTTACTTTACCAGGACATGAGGTAAGTCTCTCACGTTCTAATGTTGATTTCAGGTCTTGCGAATCGAAGGCGGTTGATCGGCGTGCATGGCGCGTTCTGATCACCAAGGCAGTTGCCGAGATGCAAGAAAAAGCCTTCGTGTTTGCGGCGAAGAAGCGACAGGCGGCGATGGAGTGCACTCCATCGACGTCGGGCGCATGGTGCTGTAATACATGCGGTCGCGAGTGCTGCTGAGAACGTAAGCAGAACCTGCTCAGCGTTGGTAGGTATGCTGCATGCGCTTCCATTCGATTTACTAACCGCGTGCTTGCGTGCTGAGTCTATCTCAGCTGGTTGGTTTAATATCTTGTCTTAATGCTTATTCTTTTACCTCGTTTTAACGTCTATCTGAACAATCTTTTGATTTGCACACGTCGCTTAATCTGATTGTAGTGAACCGTTTTAACATTTTCGTGTTTGTGTCATTTTTAAAAATATCTTTTTCTGACATCTTGAACCTTGTTAACCAGCTTATTTCATATGCTCATTCAGCGGCGAGTTATATCAGCCTATCCGTATGCTTTATTCGATATCTATTATTTGTTATTATCGTTTCAACTGATTGGTGATTGACATTCCCGGTTTGGCTACGCTTGATGTGCATGTTGACAAGGTGCCTACCTGTTTAATACCCACTACCTCGTCTATACTGGCTCCAGGAGACAGTTTGTCGTTGCTGGAGGGGACGGGGTACACGCTCCTCTTGGCCGTGCTAGGCTCGAAGAGCGGTTTCATACACTCAGTATGGAGCGGACTACGTTCGAGCTACCACTTTGTGTGCACTTGATTCCCCAAGTACGGCATGATAGTGTTTGTTTGTGAAGGAGTGTGGGCCAGCTTCGTTGATGAAACGTGGCTCCCATCCACATGCCTCCCGGTCTTATTCCTTCGGGTTTACACTGGATATGGGGTGTGTGATTGGAGCTGTGAGTGGTGCAGCGCAAGCAACCCGGTCCAGTACAGCAACCGCGAACAACGCCCAACACGGAAGTCGATGAGCTAGTTACATTCGGCAACCGGTGCCTTCGCAGTTTGGCTCATATCTAGTGGGAACACCGTGTGAGCATTGAGCGTGTTCGACGCCTTGTGTATGGGGCAGAAACAGGAAGCGAACCGCTCAGTACCGTTATTTCATGCACCAGGTTCGGATTTCTGGGTCACTTGTTGTACATGTCTACCCACCGACTCACGATACGTGCGTTGTTTACGCGCCGCGGGTGCGGATGGGAGAAAAGTAAAGGTGGCCAATCGATGACTTGGTCAATAGGAATGTAGGCCCTTACTTCGAAGTTGGTCTCGGTTGGAGGATTTCGGTTCCCTGTATGGAGACCGAAGGATGATGAACGCGTTTGGCTGGATAGACTAGTGGACATGGCAAGGAGCCGACCTCAATGGCGTTTGTATTGTGAGTTTCTTTAACCCTCCCACTCCTGCTTAGCCTCCGCCTCCAACCACCATCTCATTCGTTAGACATAATATAACACTTTATTGCGGCACAATTTCCGGATGTTTGTTCTCCGGAGCTATGTCTGTCTGTTACTGGTGACTCAGCCAGCATGCCTCTGTTGCATGTTTTTTTTGTATTGCGCACGATTGCCTTGATGTTTTTCCACTGCAGCTAACGTGAATAGTAATAGTGATGATGCCGAGTGTCTTTCGCAACTGTGTGCGGAGCACCAGCTGTTTCTCGGTAGCACTACTTTCAGACATAGTGGGCGCTGATGTGTAGCTGGCCAGCGATGGATGCAAATAGATCACATTGCCATAACCTACTGCTGGCGTAGTTCCACCGTAGATTGTTACTCGTTATGGAGTACTTGCGTCGACTCTGATCTTGTCTTGGTACGCCGTCGCCTTTCCTTTAACTTTACCGGGACGTGCACCAAGCGTCTCCTTCGATTAGCAATTACGAAACTATCCCAGCCTTCTGTCAGCAAGCCTACCATGCTGCATTGCGTACCGAACTGCTGTCTTATCCTAATGACGTTGAGCTTTAATGGAATAGGATTTCGATCGCCGTGCGCGACACAGGACTATCTACTTGTGGTGCTGTCAATCGTCGTCACGCCAGTCATTGGTGATCTGGCGGTCGGTGAATCTATTGGAATCCAAAAGAAAACTCACGGTTGGCTCTGTGCACAATGTGGCGCGGTGGACTATTAGGCACGAACTAAAGCGGAGCCTGCGTGCTGACAAGGAAGCCTGATGGACCAGTCGGGCTCATGGAATGGAGGAGTCAGGAGTAGTAGGTAATTACCGCAAGTTCTTCCAGCTGATCTGCAACACCGGTCTTAGGAAATCAAGCGCGAGTACCCTGATACACAATAAGGAGCGCCGTATGGCTCGTTGGGTGGAACACTTCTAAGATCAGTTCAGTTTGCTCCCTGCTCCCGGACCTATTCTTACTCAGGTGATGCTGGACGAGCCATGAACGGTTAGTTTAGAGGCTCCATCGGAGGCTGTGGTCCGAAACGCGATCACAGCGCTCAATCGTTTTCGTGCTGTTGGCCCGGATTCACTGCCACTTACACTATTTAAGGATGGAGGTGAGGTCCTCTGCAAAGCACCGACCTACCTATTCGAACATACCTGGACGAGAGTGTTCCGGCTAACTGGAGCGAATCGATTATAGTGGCAATATACAAGAACGGCAGTCGCACCGACTGTGCTAACTACGGGGGTATTAGCCTAACGCCAGTTGTGACAAAATTACTGGCCTCCATTATCTTTCGTCGCCTCACTGCGGAACGGGAATCTCGGATTAAGGTAGAGCAGGCAGGTTTCCGCCCAGGACGTGGCTGTATAGAACATATATTCACTCTGCGGCAAGTGCTAGAACAGCGCCACGCATATTGCAGACCAGACAATAACTGTGTTCCTCGACTTTAAGAGTGGGTTCGATTCAGTAGATCGATGCATTCTGTTCGCAATACTTCTGCGGAAATTTGTTCCCACGAAATATATGAATACCTTGTCTGCTCTATACTCGAACACTACAGTCGGCGTCAGTCGGATAGCTTTCCGATAACAAGTGGCGTTTGTCAGGGTTTTTCCCTCATTTAATTTCGTTGTGGACTCTAACATGGAGTGTTCGCTTGCGGAATTGCACGATGTATTCCTTATGGTCTTGCCTAGTGAAAGGTTACTTGATCTTGATGATGCGGACGATATTGTCTTGCTTTTTGACGATGTTGCGGCGGCACAATCACCCTGAACAGCCTGTCTAGAGTGATTCGATTATTTGGTATGCGCTTCGCACCTTCAAAGTGCAAAGTGTTGCTGCAGGATCACCAGCCACTTGTTGCCCCCTTGACACTTGATGGCGAAGAACACGAGATGGTTGATCGATTCACTTGACTTGGCAGCTGCATCAGCAATGACGGGCGCATGAAATTGAAGTCAGTTCACGCATTGCAAAGGCCAGAACTGCCTTCTTGTACCCGCGGCATCCTTAACGACAGAAGGGTGTTTCGTTCCGTCTGGAAAGCCGTGTATACAAGGCCACAGTTTAGGCCGTTTTGCTCTGTTGGAGTGATACTTGGCCTCTTTGGTCTGAAGATCTGAGGTGTCTTCAAGTCTTTGCTCATTACTGGTGTCGGATGTTACCACCGTGTCCGCGACGATGATGGGCGTAGGCAAGTGCTATGCAATGATACCCGTACTAGTTCCTTAGATCAACGGATAAGTTGCGTTGGCTTGGGCACGTACTTCGTATGCCCGGTCACCACTTGGTCTGCTGGATGTGGTGTGGCGCAAGGCTCGAGGTGGACAGAAGTTTACTTGGCAGCGGGAAATGGAGTCACCGACGATCCAACTCAGTGCCGTTGGTCTGTCTCGGCTTCCGGGCTGGAATCCAAGTGACTCGCCTTGTGCTTGGCTGGAGACTACAGGACGTGACTTGCAGTCGGCATCATTGGCGCGTCTACTGTCGTCACCTAGTCGGATTGCCTGTTTAAAGTGTATTTGGTGTCGAGTTATCTGCGGGGTAATGGCTGATTACGAGGCGGGGCTGTGAAAGCGGTATGGAAGCTGGCTCGCTGATACCACCTTATCTTTGCAAGATAGCCAGCTGTTTGTGACGGTATGTTGTCCACACAAGGGGTAGGCGCATTGACCCTGAATGTTTTCTTAGGGCATTAATGTTTTCCGGTATGTCCCCCTTTTCTCCCTCTTATTATTGGACATTGAAGTCGCTTACGAGGCACTTCGAACCAGGCCCCTGAAGCCGCACTGATGATGTTGCCTAGTCAGGCAACGAAACGTCTGCAAAATAATTATCCAGCTCGAAGAACTGCTCAAAATCCGCACTCTTTTCATTCTTTTATTTGGGGTTATCCGTGTGCTTTGTATGGCAGCCTGATACGTTCGACTAACTCTCCCCGGTTGCGAGTGGTTTGCTGGCGCGACTCCGTATCATGTTTCGAGTCTTTTTCATACTCGATATTTGTAATCAGCAACTTTCTTTGCGGAGAAGAGTATTTCTGATGCTTTTTTTTACTCTTGTCTTTTCATTGCAACTTGCCTGTTTTGTGTGGAAATCATGTACACATCTCTTTTCGGCCGGTTTTCCCCATCTGCCTGTTTTGGTGTGTATGTTTATCCTGTATATTTTCCATCTCCTTTCAGCTTACTGCGTACCGCATGGATGACTGGTCGCGACTGCTGATTTTGTACGGAAGCCAGACGGGTCAAAGTAAATCTCTCGCAGAACGTCTGGTTATGCAAGCGAGAAGTTTATTTGATATCCCCTTCCATGTATCATCCAAAGAGACACGTAAGGCTTCTTTAGGGATTAATTTGCAGCCGCTGGACTCCTACTTACCCCTGTCTCGCCTTTCCAAAGAAACCGGGATAGTCATCTTCATATGCTCAACTACAGGTTATGGTGTGCCCCCGGACAATATGCGCATTTTTTGGCGCCGAATTATGAATAAGAACTTGCCTGTCGGGCATGCTCTGTCATCCAACGTTCGTTTTGCCGTCCTTGGACTCGGAGACTCATCCTATCCGAAATTCAACATAGTTGCCAAAAAACTCTATCGACGCCTTGTCCAGTTAGGGGCTTCTCCATTGCATATAGTTGATCCCTTCAGTGAAGATCGTACTGATCCCGGTCTGGGGTTAGCTGACGAAGAAGCCGACCTTGGAGTGAACACTTTGTTGCAGTGGTGGATACCTCAGTTGTGGACTATCGTTTCCAAGATTTTTCGAGTTTCTTTTGTCCCAGGTATTCCCGTGCCTTTATCCCTCCCTTTTCTTGAAAGTCCCTCTTTTATCTCCAGTTTCTGGCCTATCTTTACCGTCAAGGTTTGTGAGAACTCACCGAATCGTATCGTAAATAACATGATTGATTCTGTTGGCTCATCTATCGAAGCATGTACCCTGCGCTCCGGTTCGGTCCTTTCTCCACAGATACAGACCTTACAGATTGTCGAAAACGTTCGTGTCACAGCCAACGATCATTTTCAAGATACTCGTCTAATTACACTCTGTGTAAGTTGTTTTGCATAATATTAATTAGTATAGCGTCAGACACGCCTCACTTCCCAACACTATACCTTGCCCGACTTTCTCATGCAACAGCTCCATAACTAGTCGATTTACCCTGTGTACGAGCGTTGTACTTTTTGTGGGAACTGGAATGCACGTGCCTGACTTACACAGTTACATTTTTTCTGTTGGACTGCTGACATTTGTTACATTCCACTATTTTTTGTACGTCCTGAACCCTCATACTTTTTATACTTGATGAAAGTGACCAGATGCGTCTTCACTTTTACAGACAACGATTCTCAGTAACTTGTCAACTATCTAGACACGATCATTGAGTTATTCAACGGTTTTGCTCTTTCACATCTCCGCCTCACCTTTGACGCGCCATTTGCCCGGCACTTCACTTATTAGGAACTAAGTATGCTATTGGTATCCATTCTATCTTATTATATTATTATTATTATTATTCAACACTTGACCAATGTACAATTGGCAGTGCCACAACACCTAGTTAACAACAACAAAAAACGGGTAGTCAGTGAAAGAATTTAGAAAGTTTGGAATGTTAATGTGTTGTGTGGGCAGAGCTTCTCGGTTGACCAGGCCGAGGAAGTAGGTTAATGGACCACACTCCGAGCCTTTGGTCTTAAGACCTAACCCGTAAGGCAGCGGGGCGATTAACGAAGACCGTTGACATCCGAGTGGCTCCTTCGCCTTCTTTGTGTTCAGTGCCAGTCCACAGTGAAGCCGGTAGCCAGCAAAGTTGTTCAACCGCTCTCCGTTTTCCACTCACCTCTGGTTACATAAGTGAGTGGTCATTGACTCTATAGCCGGCCACGTTGGCTTTGACACATCGCCGTACGAGCTCTTGTGGTATTTGTTGGGGAACCAGGTGACCAGCACTCCCAACGCTGAGGCGCTGCCACTGATTGTCCGCGACTGCTTATTCATCTCGCCTACAAGGCAAACGAGACTTATTCGAAGTTACCTCCACAGGGAAGGCATTCCCCAATCCGCAACCTGGGGACGCACTGATAGCGTACAGCTCCGCCACGGATGGTATCCATTCTTGACGTATATGGGACAGCTAGCCTCCATTAGTATTTCCTCATGGTTGCACACTTTCATCACATTCCTTGGTTTCCGTTTCTTTTAAAGATATTCGCGGTGCGTGCATCGGGTCTGTCCCAACTCATTTCAGCTCAGTGAAACTACTACGATCCCGACATCAAACTGCTGTGGTTCCGGTAATCATTACTACGGTCATCAAGCTAATACTAACTAATGTTTAGGAAAATGAGAGAACGCAATCTGATTACAAAGAAACATAAAAATGAGTGGAAGTAACAGGATTGGAATGCTAGCAGTTGGGCGCAGGAATCTGAATACAGAAACGTTTTTGACTGGGCAACTGCTTTATTCCGAGTCAACCCTCTAACTGTTAATGTAGCATATCCATAGACCCCATCCACAAAGAAGCCCACATCATTCTGCACAAATTACTAAGTCGGTTTCTTCATCGTCGACTGTCCACCTCGTTATTTCGTCCAACTACTTGCGACGACAGCATTTAATGCACGTCGAGAAAGACGGTCAATGAACATACGAATGACATGACCTAATCAAACTAGGCCATTGCAATCCGGTAACCCTCCTGCGCAGCATCGTAGTAGCCAAGCTGCCATATTCAGCGTTCCTTAATTTATGCCTGCATCAGGTATGAGCAATAATCCGTGAGACGTGACATCTACTTAAGTCAAAGTAGGCTTTCTGCACCCGAATAGGTGCATTTTCATTAAAGCGCCAACATTTCAAATCTTTCACATCGTCGTCAACCCAACCTAAGCTTATGTTCCACCGCATCCGTACACTGCAGAAAATTAGTAAAGCCACAACCGCTATGCTGATACGTGAAATAAACTCAGTAATGTGATGATCAGCTATATGACCACCTACATCCAGTGGCTGTTAAGTAAGGTCTGCAACCGGTGATACGTAGACCAAGCTCTGCAACAATAGCTAGCATTTTGATGGTGGGATGCCCATGCCGAAGCGGGAATAACCGCACTTGAGATTTCAGAAACGTTGGAAAACAACCGGTTGGGAAACAGTCTCAGGTTCGATGCCTACTAACTCTATCTGATGAGATCTAATAACATCGAATCGCGTCATAGTAGTGCAGTGTTTTCCGGCGGGCAGCACGTAATTTCTATTTCTTTCAAAAGTAGGTTGCGCTACAAGGAAAACTAACATAGTCGGTTATCCGCTGATGTACCTCCGATACAATGTTTGACCAAAAGCAAACATATGGTCAGTACACCTTCTAGGATGATGAAAGCCATCATGTCTCCCTGATTCAGGTGAGACATCGACACGTGAGATGTCACGTAATGATAATTGAGTATATGAAAGCAATGGAAATAAGGCCTATGAACAGATAGCTTGTGCACTAATTTCAGTCACGTGTTTTGCAATGAGAACTACTGGCAGCCGTCAGACTACGTCGTGCAACATCGTATTTAATGGCAGATCTGCCTGACACTAATGCAACGCCGTCATCTTTCAGCAAAGATAGAGACAGATCGTCAGGTCCACGAAGTTTGCTACCTTTCAACAGTTTACATCGAACTTCTGCCAAAATGGGAGGCGTGACACCAGTCCCCGATGCATGCACATCTAATTGACTGCTCAAGAATGCACCACCCGAAGAACAAGGATACGCAGTTGAGAAGGAGTATATCGACAGTCTTTGTCAGCTGTTGTCGAACGAACTAAGCTCTTTCTCGGACCTTGTTGCAGTTCCCAGCTGCTCGCAATCGCCTTAGCTCTCTTCCTCCGACGGGCCGTTGACATAAATCAGCACCTCGATCAATTCTGGGAATCGTACTCAGACATCCTTTTAGGGTGTTACGATTACTCTGAAGTTGAAAACCAACGGTACCAATGTATTTGCCTAAATAAACCTGATCGAGGCTAGACAAATCCATTCGAAATTCGGCCACATGAAGTTCAATGAGCACACTCTTTCGAAACCCTTCGGAACACGCTGGAGACGTTTCCAAGCGGCATTCTCATTTGCCAGTGACAGGTAACGATCTAATTCATTTTGCCACTGTTTATTTGTGCACTGTGGATTCAGGTCACGAATGAGGAACCCACAAATTAAGCTTGTCGCTGAGGCCGGATGAGTAAGCCCCACGGGTTTATGCAGCAGTGCGTGATCGGAATCAGGGCATCTACTCCAAGTTGACCGACAACCTGGAACTGATGTCTGCTGTGTGTAACTGATAGTAATATCAGCGTTTTGCGTTCAGTTTATTATGGAGCTCGCTGACTGCCATGTGATGTGTTCGCCGGAAGGCAGTGTTATAAAGGCAAAGGTTGTCGTCAGCGACTAGTTTCGGAAATTGGTCGGCATTAGCTTCTTTGCGTGTGTGGACATTCAAACGGGCACCCTGGGCGTTGTTCTGAGTCTGGTGGGAAATCATGACAGAATTCATCTCGCCAGCGGTAATTACGTTGTCCATCGGAAAGATGTTAATGGAATTCGCGTTGGACGTTCTGCGAGCTGTTTTCGGTTGGTGTGTGAACCGAAACGATAGAATGCTCCTTGTTTTCAAATTAGGAGATCCGGAGTAGGACACCACACATGTGGTTGGCTGCTGTGATTCGCTGGACCAGAATGCCTTCAGAATGTTGCTGGTAGCAATGGTGAGTCCATGACTCGTTGACGGAGTATCATCGGAGACACAAAGAGTGCAACCAATATTTCCGCGAGGTTGCCGTCTTGTGTGCGTGTTCGGGAGTCTCAGTTACCATCGATTTCAAGTGAGCTGGGGATGAATGTTATCGTTATTGGTTGGCCGATTTGACCTAGCGGGGAAAGTTGAATGAGTGAAATGAAGTGGGGCTACTCAATCCAGAGGATGAGGAGATGTTTCACGAGCATGAGCTGCAAAGTCCTTGACTTAAAAGGAATGTAAATAATTTTTGTGATTGGCTTGTTTTTGTGGGTATAATGGACACTGCTTACTCATTATTTTCGAGCTCTTGTCCGAGCTCCCCTGCCTCTCGCATTTTGTTTTAAGATCCTGTGCATGAAGGTAGTTGGGTAAATGAGGTACGCTTGGGGATCTGCACCTGCGTCGTTTACACGCTAATCTGATCCGCAGTCCATTTGTGAACAATCTCACTTGGATCTGCCACATATTCTGTTGGCTCAAAGCCATTCGCGTTTATTTTTAGATCACGACCATCTGCAAGCCAGTTTCGCCACCTCAGGCGTAATCTAACTTGAGGTGGACTGTGTCAATCCATTGAGAAAAGGTAGCGAACTCATATCACCTAGCGGCAGCACATGGCACTCCTATGTCACGCAAATGGAAACTGAGCTTATGACTCATATGATGTGTACTGTCATTGATAATGTTTGAAAGAAGTGGTGCATGGATGTCTCACCCACCTACGATGAGGAGGGCACCATGACTGAGTTCGTCTAGCTGTTGTTGGTTGATTGGTCCGCTATGCGTAGATCATCGAACAAGCAAACGATCTGTGCTAAACGGATCCCTCACTCCAGCTCAGGCTATGTCAACCTGATGCCTCCAAACCCGGACGAAACCGCGACCGTGGTGTGCCAGTATTGGGAGGAGCAACACCGAAATATTTCCATTTCGGATACGGTCCTTGCGATTGTAATATCCGAGGTCTACTTCAAAGTGAACCTACGTCTCAATGGAGATTGCGTGTCGAAATCCAACCACACGGCGGGTTCCCCAAGTCCAACTTCGAATTCCTTTCCGCTGTGCCAAGCGTTACTCGCTGATCTCAGTGGCATGGCGTTCAGATCGTCAGCTGTGAGGAGCAACACCGAAAGATTTCCAATTTGCTACGTGTTTCTATATCCAGTACTTTGTGAGCACCCTTCGATATTCATCTATCCACAGTAGAATATACAGTGAGGCGTGACAGTGCCTTGTTATTTGTGCTCGCACTGAGAATGTGTGAACATTGTCATAGCCCAATGGTTCTCTGGTGAGCGGACCATTCATTTGGCACTATCCATACCATTGAACTTTGGAGCTCACTGGTTTACTTATCGGGCATGGATTTATCGGTTTCGTGTCCAGAACTGTTCACGAGTAACTCAAAGCTGATGCTCGATTTACTGTATGGCTGGTTATAGGGTTTGGGGCATATTACCCACATCAGTGATGTGACATAATCCTTCATGATGCAGTCTCGAAGTCATTGGTGCGCTTACAGTTATCTCTTGCATTCCCACTGACTGTTCCTCTGTTTATGGCCACAGTAGCCACAGCTTCAGCAGCTGGACCCTCCACACTTCGATCTCATCGCCAGGAGACTGGACCTAAACCTCGTGCAACAGTTTGTATGCCTTTATCATACATTTAGCTATCTCCCTCGCTCGACCCTGGGTTGATACTGAAACTCATGTTCTCTTAAAATGATAGCCACTGGTAACAACAGTTTGCTTTTCGATTAGCGCT